AGGGGCGGTAGAATTATGAAAAAATGAATATTCAAAAACAATTAAATTTAAGTTTACTTGAATAATTAATAATTTAATTAATTTTAATCTTTCGCATTGTTTATAAATATTTTAAATAAAGTTAAGTTGCAGTTGTTTATTTAAAATTAATAATTTGTTTCTTCTTTTTTTCAAAACCTAATACCAAGCCCCTTGATCAGCGTAGTTTGATGTTCGCTAATTGATAACTTGATGTGGTGTTGGCCAGAATTTAAGAAATGTCATACACTATAATATTAAAGTAATAATATAGAGATAGATGTGGACTTTTACAAATACATTACGCTGATACGTTTTCATTTTTCATAACATTTTTTTCTGTATATGTATTATTAATAATTATTATTTATTAATTATATTATTATATAATTACATATAAATTACTAAGTAAAAAATATTATACAAAAAGTGGATAGATCCACCTTTTGTATAATATTTTCTGTTTACAATTTTTGTTGTCTATTTTTAATTACAATGACTTTTACTTATAATAATAATAGTCTTTTTCTTATATGATTGGAATGATTTCTCTAAAGTTACTAATATTTTTTTTATAATTGAAAACTCGACTTTATACTGCATGTATATGCAGTATAAAGTCGAGTTTTATACTGCATGTGAGCGGAGCGTATCTTGAAAAGGATGAGGGAAGTACGACGCAACAAGTGCCATCAAAGAAACAGGATGTCTATCAGTCTTTTTTTTAACTGAATTTATTCGTTACCTTGTTATTTCATTCTTAGATAAAGATAGGATATAGAAATTAAATAGCTAGCCGTCTTTATTTAGGAAATGAGGAAAAGTAAAACAAAATGTTTGATAGGTATTTTGAAAGTTTGCCTTTTAAGAGACAAAGTTTCTACAGTAAAAGTAATGATATAAATTCTTCGTGTGTGTTAAAGTAAGATCAGAGTAAGTTTCAACGACAGTAATATCCATTGATATATATTAGTAACATGTCTTATAGAAGAAAGATATCAATTAATGAAATATGTTTTATGTACAGACTTCAAATATAATTAACTATCTCGAAAAAACAAACCCACATAACTATTAAGATAAAAAAAAATCGAAATAAAGACATATTAAAGTTAATTAATCGCTCAGATAATATGTCGGGTAGGTGTAAAATGTTTTTTGTATTCAATATTTAAGAAAGCTAATAAAGTTTAACAATATTGCCAAAAATTACTTGCTGCAGGTTACAGTACTCCTATTTCTCGTACTAGCATAGCATATTATATTCACAAAGGTAGGATACGAATTCTCCTGCATTATTTAACAGGCCTATAAGTGAAAGAGCTGAGAAAGTAGCATAGAATGTTTTTCACCCACGCAGTATGAAATTTGCATGAGTTCTGTGAGAAAAACTGCTAACCTTAATAAGGTCCATCCTTAACCAAATGTCGCAGTCTCAATTCTCAATCTCTAGTCAAGTCTTGCATTTTTTGTTAATCATTATTTGGAATACTTTATTGTCGTTACATCTCATTAACGTGAGTAAATGATTATTAGTAACGGGAACTAATTTTTCCACTAGCAATAGGTATACTTCCCTCGGATCTATTTCTCAGTTGCTATTTCTCTTTGTGAAGCAAAAAAACTGATTGTTACGAAGCGAAATGTATTTATAAATACATGATTCCGGTACTGTGCGTTCTTAATTCAAACATATTCAATTCGAAATATTTACATAACATTTCATCGTCAATCGATGTGTGTGTATTTACGATTGAAGTCATATTTTCGCGGTGCAAAATGTGTTTTTTTGTATTTTGTAAAATATTTACAAATATCTTATATTTCATCAATTGTTATTCTATCATATTATATTGTCAGTAGTAGACGCCGCTCACTTCAGTCCTGCCATGAAAACGACGTGGTATTTAATTCACGTTGAAACGTCGACAATAAAAATATATAGGTAATAGCGTATTTAAAATAAATATTGGTAAGAAAATATCAATTGTAGGCCTATGTTACATACCAAACATTCATTTATCGGTCAGAGAGGCACCTCTCTAAATGGACGATGCTCTAAATTGAGAGAATGCGTAAATTGGTGAAACAAACATGTAAATAAATTACTCTACCCTTATTTAATTTCACCAACGCAATTTTCATACTATTGGCATTCTGAAATTATATTTCATTTTTAAATGTATTAATAGCTATATCAATACGAACCGGTTAAAACCTATTCCCTTAAGAGATTCCAAAATCTTTCCTTTCTTGGAGCTCTATTATTGTATTTGTGTTAGGAGCTTATTTTTTATATAGTAAATACATAATAATTTCGATATTATTATTACATATTCTTCAATCAAATTTCATGTATAATAACAATATCAAAGTAATAAATTTCAAATACATTTTAAAAATTTTTTACAGAAACCATTTTACAACAACAAAGAATTTATATCCAGTCGAAACATTCGAATAAAAAAACTTACACTTATATAAACATGAACTTTAAAAAATCACAATTCTATTTTAGGCAATAATGTAAATATCGTATTTTATAATAGTAGTATAGATATTTTTTTATTCAACTTAAAATGACAAACAAGCTAACGGTCTACCTTATGGAAAGTGGGTAACCGTCGCCTATAGACATGAACTGTATACGAATATAACAGAGTATACTGTATCGCTCATAATACCCTTCATGCATTTCCTTTTCTGAAGATTAAAGTATTATGCCTTTGTACTATGCAATTTTTAAATAATGACCGCTTGCAATCTCTCTCGTTTATTTTCTTACCTATTTGCTAATTGTATTGGTTTCGTAAGCGCTAGATAGATTAAGTATACTTTTCTCTAAAAAATAGCCTAAATACTTGTCAAGTAATCAAGATATACCAAAAATTATAATAAATATTGCAGTGGTTTACTTGTTTTGTCATTTATTAAAAGTAAATTTATTTGTATATATTGTGTTTGCGTAGACCTTATTAAAAAAATTAAAAAAAAAACTTTTTATAAACGTTCATTCGGTAATCTCTATTAAATGATACAAATACAAAACGAAAATTGACAGCAAATATCGTGCAATTTTCGGCTATCGTGTTTGCGAGATACGTAGGTAATCACGGGGCGGATTTCATTTAGATACGTACCAACTCCTGTAGGGTGAGTAATTGGAGAAGCGAACACTACAGATATTGGTGACACCTACGCCGTTCGAAACTACTAGTTTCAATACGTAATGTGTAATTTGTGTCCATCTTTGTTTTCATTACTCTAAAAATAGACTACTAATTCAAGCAATGGTAGAATTTTTTTTGTTATTTATTAAGAACTAACGTTCAAAATAGTATGTTAAGAATACATACTCAATATGTTAGCTCCATCCTATCATTATTATTATTATTATACTACATCAGCCGTTAACTGACGTTCCCAATGAGGGAATTTTTGCCAGTAGTTGCCACGTTTGACCACATGCCAACTTCGACTATTAAGTTCCTTTAGTCACCTCTTACAACACCCACGGGAAAGGAAGAGGTGGCCTAATGTGTGCCGGGATTACACAGCCACCATCCTAACATCATCGTCATTTCAGCTATTATCCATCCACTGTTGGACATAGGCCACCCCCATAGACTGTCATAAGGAACGGCTTCTCCTAACATAATATTTAGTAGATATTAAAAACATTCTACTATAACTAAGTATGTAATAAGTGTACAGGTTCAAGATACCTATTAGAGATCAAAGTATAGTAAAACTTAATGGTAACCAAGTTTATCATAGAAGCAATTTTTAAAGAGGTTAGTAACATATTATTTTTAAAACTTACGTTAATTTTTTATTTGATGTTTATTTACATACGTAACGGAAAATTAATGAACTAGTTGCATGCATGCCTGCGTGCGTGCGTACGTGCGTACGTGCGTGCGTGTGCGTGTGCGTGTGTGTGTGTGTATGAAAATACAGTGAGTTCATTAATTTACCGTTACATATGTACATAGAAATCGAATCATTGAATTAGTTAATCGCTTATTGATTTGTACTATTATCTGATCTCATCAATATTTTTTTTTATTTTATTGTTTTTTTTTAATCCTAATGAAATGGACCATATAGAAATAAAAATATTTAATCGAAATATTTCTAATTTAATTTAAATCTCATACGGAATTGACTACGATACTGAATAATACCTTCATCAGGTTAACACTCAGAGTCTACCACCTTTTAAGATGTCTGTCGAAAGCAATATAATACCCATTGTTATGAGCATAACACTCCACTTGCGTGCTCGGCCTGAGCATTGTGTCTCTGATTAATTGGATTTGTCAACGGTGCTTACTATTACCGGAGAGTTGGTTGGACATTTCCTTTGATACAAAGCTTTTTGTGTTGACTAGATTTGAACCCTCGGTTACTTAAGTCCTATAAAGTAGATATCGACACACTCATCATCATTATCACAGTCATCGTTACAATTTCCCCTACGTAATCGTCTATGAGGCCATTCAACTTTATTTAATCATTTACCATCTGATTGTGATTCAATTCACAATTCAATCACATCAAGTATTATTATCCAAGAATATTTAAAAAAATGTTTGTTTTGATTCAATTATCTCACCACATCAAGTATCATTATACAAAAATATTTAAATAAATTCCTTAATCAGTCTATTGACATCAGAGGCATGTAATTACTTTATATACAAACTAAACGTTGGTTATGATTAAAGCTAAACTTTAGTAACATTAATATTTAACACAGCGTAATGAATAAGTTTATTTCCTTGTTACGCTAAGTAACCTTCATAATAAATATCTCATTATAAATATTGAGTACAATATGTAATTTTGTAAATTACATTCAGTACAGTTTCAATATGGGTTCTAATATCGTTGACGACAGAAATGCAGTGTCAAACACTGTAAGACAGTAGCATCGGTGTTTGTAAATCAAAACTGGGCGGGCGGGCGCGGGTGGGTAGGGGCCGCGCAGTCTAGTCTGCCGAGCGACGCCGGCCGGCGCGCACCGCCTTAAAAGCCAACCGTACCCTATACACGAATCGTTCACCCAACAGCAAGACAAAGTTCGCGACATCAGTGAATACTAAGCAATGGAAGTGTGACGTTACGTTTGTTTGTTCAGGACCTTATGAAAGGTAAATACGGTATTTTTTTTAAATCTCCTTTTCACTAGTTATCTTTTAAGTTGCATATAAAAGTTTTTACTTAAAAAATGCAGTGACAAAAAAGTGACAATTTATGTAAATCAATTAAGTGTCTAAAACCTTTATACACTAAATTTATTATAAATATGTTATGATGTGTCATATATATATCAATATAGCAGCAGTGAACCCATTTCATTTCAGCCTCGGCCTTTATCCCCTAAATTAATAAAACGCTCAAAATTTTGCTACAAAATAATTAAAAAGCCTCAAACATATTTATCATGTAACGTTTACCGAACCTCAGACACTTCCTATAAATACTTAATTTTAAATTTTACACACACGAAATTAACAAATAATTTATTATTAATGAATTAAAAAAGTTTATTTTCTGATCTTTGTCATTAAAGTTATAAATACAATTTCCGATAAATTTCAACAAAATTACGTTCGTTTAGAAGAAAAGTCGAACGATTCTCTTAATTGTGCCCCTCGCTATAAAAGTATTAGCCTAATATTGAAAACGTGCCGATAACTCAGTCTGCGCTCCGTTACCAACTCCAATAATGACAAATCATTAATATCTTAGTTAGATATTAAATCCGTGTATATTTTTTGTGGACTTCTTATAGACACAATATTTTTATTTTTACGAACATAAAAATGTTGTCTATAAGAATCCAATATATTAGTGGTTTTAAAACAAAATATTAGCTCGCGGCTTTTTCGTCGTAAATCCATTGATAAAGTAACCAACGTAGGAAAAAACACTAAATTTCATTCAAATTGATTTAATTAAAAAATAATAATTCATATTCAAAATAATAAATCGTGATTAAGTAACAAACATATTTATGTTCAAATATTTTACAAACTTTCATATTTACGATATACATAGGATTTTACGCTCTTGTTACTGTAATAATCTTGCCTTAATTAGATGTTAAATTCATTACCAGAAATAATGCGTATCTTTTATGAATTTCTTACAGAATATAAGTATTTTTATTTTTACGAACATTAAATCATCACAGAACACTCCAATTACTGAGTCTACGCTCACGTTACGCCTCTAACAACGATAAATTGTTGATATCTAAATTGAACATTAAATTCTTACAAACATATTGTATCTTTTATAAATGTCTTCTGCTAAAAATATATTTTTATTTTTATAACGTTAAAATTATCACAATAAATCAACTTGCGCTCCTGTTACCAAGTCATCGATATCTAATTTAAATAATGAAGTTATCAAGTTATCTTTATTAATACACTTGTAGATCGTCTATATTTTTGTTTAGAAATATTAAGACTTTAAAAAACATGCCGATAAATCAGAGTGCGCTCTGGTAACCGTCTTCATTAATAACAATTCTTATAAAAGATACCTCTTAAAAATTTAATACATTTCATATTTCGATTTTACTTTTCAGGTATATACTTATAAATGTGTAAACTATATATTTTATATAGATTTAATTTAATTTTAAGTTAGTTGGAAATAAACAATAATATTTCTTTTATAATAGCAACGACATGTAATCATATCATCTTAAGCGAACACGTGTACAACATGGTCCTTAAATACCATCAACAAAAAGAGAATAATTTCTCTCAACGGTTTAACCACACTATGCAGATTCACTAGGTACTTAATTAATAATTTAATAATAAAAAAGTAAAGTTTGCTGAATTTATTATTAATTATAATAAATTTATTTAATTTAAATAAACTAGGTATTGGTAAACTTCTGTTAAATGAAGTTTCTTAAGTCTATTTAATATTTACAGAAATTAATATTCAAATATCACATTTTGTGGGAACTGATGAAATCATGTTTCGACAACACCAACTATACTATTCACTTTTAAAAATAGTAAAATATTAATAAATAAATAATTTAATAAATCTTCATACATAGTCCATACAGAAGGAAACAAAGATCATATTCGTAACTTAATTCACCAATACGAGTACATTTTGATTCGATATAATTGCATAGCAAACAAAGTCACGGGTAAAGACTAATAATGTATAGAAGAAATAAATACCCAAAATGAAAAGGTATATATATATATATCAATCGATTATGTTATGGTTGTAAATATTTACTGCACATACAACATTAGAGATACGAAAAAGATTTAACATACAATGGCGGACTTATCCTACGGACGGATTTCTCATAGTCAACCTTTGAGAAACTGAAGGAACCAATAGAATATTCGAGGAATACAATATTAATATCTAATATTTTATTTTTTACTAGGGCTCCGCCCCGACTTCGCACGATTAAATAGAATATTCAAAAATAACTTATGTTACTTTTTAAATTAGCATAAACTATATATTATTATGTTACAATTTTTTTAAAATCGGATGAGTATTTTTGGAGTTTTATACATTAAAAACAAACAATGAAATATTTTCTCTTCGTAATAATAATATACTCATATTATATGTTTACAATATATGAATATACTAAGTATTACTTTATGTTTCCTCAAATCTTTAACGCACCGCCTACTTATTTCTCAGTTTGCCCAATGGTTGACTGATAAAGAATCCATCCGGCGTTATGTTCGCCTAATATACATAAAACTTTACCGGACGTTAAATATTAATTAAATTAATAAATATCTGATGTTATTTATGATTATATAATGATGTTAAGTAGATCTTGACCTTGACTTTAAAATTTTCCGTTACCTTTATAATTATATTAGAATGAAAGAAAAAAACTAAACGTAGAAATACAATACACAAGAAATACACTGTTAAAATATATAGTATTATTACATTTTTTCTTTTATTTTCTCATAACGCGAGACGGGGAATTTCTTAAGGTTCACTATCCTAAATAGATGATTAATCTTATAAGAAACCCTTAAATATCATCATCATATCAGCCATTAACTGTCTATTGCTAAACATAAGCCTTTCCCATAAGAGAAGTTTTGTCAGTAGTTGCCACGCTTGGAAGACGGGTTGACAACCCTTGGATATATCTCATAGGATATCTAAATAGATATGATTAGGGGGGAAGGGATTGTTAGTAATGGAGACTAAGAATCCTATTGCTAGCAATATACCCAGCCAGGTCGACCTCCTCGCAGTTCCCCCTGGAAACTATCATGGTTAATTACTTGTGAATTCATCATGATGGGCTAACTGGCCTGTTTTCATTCACATCTATCACCCTTCACTGGTGCTCCGCCAGCGTATCCCGTTAGCGCAGGCGGGGTTGATAAAAAAAAATAGATATGATTTTATGTATGTTTATATAATATGGATAAAATCGCGAGTAATAGCTAATTTAACCCGCGACTTCTACCGCGTTGATGTGTTCACTGATCTGGCGCGTGACTGATGCAGTCGAATCGGTATCGAATCGATTAAACATCAAAACGACGTTATCTTATCTTATATTTGATCGAACAGCGATGAGATTTCGATTTGATCGCAATTCGATTTTATCAAAATTCAGCCCACTAGTCATCGATTTATATCATCATACTATTTGTATAGATACGAGTATAATGTCGTAGAAAAATGTGTGTACTAGGAGGGATTTCGAGTAACATTTAGAGAAAGCATGCATTTTTTAAATATGTCAATATTATACTGATCTTTTTGCTGAAAATATATACCTAGTAAAATAAGAAATTGAAAGCTTTTTGTTTTTAATAAGTGCGTTTGTTTTTTACATTGATTTTTAAATAGTACAAAATTAAACTAGAGATAAATTGTCGTTCGCTAGGATAAACAATAACAAACATAACTTATTTTTGTTAACTCGTATTTTTGTAGCTTTGTGTACAGTGCCTTGTATTTATATTGTTGCTATTTGTGAAAACCTATTAGTGGCTTTTTTGTTATCCTAAAACTGTATCTATTTGCTGTAGTGTAGCCCTGGTTTTCCTATGAATAAATAAATAAATAAATAAAAAATCTTGGTTTTTTTATATTACTATAGTAACAAGCAAGTATAAAGCGTCCGATGGTAATCGGGATTACCGTAGCCTGTGGACGCTTGTATTACTTTATTAAATACTAACAATTCGGCCACACAAGTACGAGTAAAATAAATTTTCAAAAATAATATAGGTATAGACTGTGTTACTCGCTAATAGCATCTTCTATAGAAAGCTTTTCTCTATTGAACGCTACATAGCTTTCTATAGATGAAAGAATTTTTATAATCACCTAAACAGTTTTTGAGATTGTCTATTACAAACAGATAATCAAATCTTTTCATTTTTAATAATAATATAGAAAAGATTTATATCTATCTGTCTGTTTTATCACTGTCTTCCAAACTGAGAAATTAGCGCAAAATAAAAGGACAAAACACTTCAATAGCTGAAATAGATTTATAAGAGGTCTGACATTTTTATAAATAGAAGTAAAATAATAATACTATTCAGCAGCTTTCCATACAACCTGCATTAAATAAAACTTAAATATTTAAAATATGTACAACAAATTCTTCATTGTTGCCACATGTTCTAATAAACTCGAAGATCCGTGCTACATCATGATGACTAATCTCTCTCAAGATGATTAATTCATTTAGTTCCGCACTTAATCTACTAAATTAATTGTACCTATTTTTTTTTTTTTTATTTATTTATACTTTTGCACACATTGAAAAATGTCTACAAGGCGGATTTAAGGCATGATAGCAATCTCTACCAGTCAACCACCACGCCAGGGGGGGAGGGATTGTTAGCAATGGAGTTTGAGAGCCCCATTGCTAGCAAGGTCAACCTTCTCGTGGTTCCCCCTGGAAACCATCTTGAACAATTCTCGTTGAATTCATCACGATGGGCTAACTGACCTGTTTCATCCTCGTCTATCATCCTTCACTGGGGCATCGGTCACTGGGGTATCAGCGTATACCGATAGCGCGGGTGGGGTTACTATTTCATTATCACCTATAAAAAAAAAATTTACCACCACGCCAAACATAGAGAGCAAATAG